TCTCTCTCTCTCTCTCTCTCTCTCTCTCTCTCTCTCTCTCTTCTCTCTCTCTCTCTCTCTCTCTCTCTCTCTCGCTTTCTCCCGCAAACGCACATACAGCGTGCTTCTGTAGCGTACGTTTTCCTATATCTCTCGCTTCCTCGTTAACCTAACCGATCACTTTTTCGTCTTTTTTGTTTTCAATCTGTGCATTTATTTAGTATTTTATTGATAATTATTTATTTCTTATTTTTAATTCTATATTTTCTTTATAAATCCGTGATTCATATATCTGCAAATCTACCATTTTTATCTGTAACTCTGTAATATTTATTTGTTGTTTTGTAATTTATCCAAAATTTTCCCCACAATTAATAATTATTTTTCATATCTTTCTCTAATTTTTAAAATTACCTATTCAAAAAAATTTTTCATCTCTCCTAAAATGCGCGATAAATTCTGTTCTATTCTACTTGACGCTTACGACGTTCCGTAGATTTCCGCGGTAATTTGCTGTTGATCAATGTTTCTGTTAGACGAGCAGAAATATTTCTGGGATTTTACCGTGAACCACGGTAGCATTTGTACGTGTCACGTACTGGCTATATAATAACGAGGTGGACGCAACAGAGCTTACATACCTCGAATTTGCGGCGGTTTGGCCTCCCTGCGATTCGCGGCGGTCTTTTTGTCCCGCTCTCTCTCTCTCTCTCTCTCTTCATAATTCTCCACCAGCCTCTCCTTTATCTCTGATAATCCGTCTCCCGAAAGATACCCGCGGGAATACCACCGCAAACACACAGAAACAGTTACACCTGTTTCACGCGCTTTCCATCAGCTTTAGGGTGATATTCAACTAGGCTAAAATATGAAAAACGAGATGTTGTATGAATTGAAAATTGGAATAAAAACGCCAAAATAAAAATTTTAGAACAAATTACACTTTTAATTCTAAATTTTTACTTATTGCAAAAAAATTTAATAAAAGTAGTCTTTGCATTTGTTTCTGTAGAACGTGTAAATCTCACAAATACTTAATTTTTTACAATGCTGTCGCAATATGCAATTCTCATAATAACATTTTTTGCACCATTTATCTCGTCTTTAAAACAACTTTTTTAAACCTAATGCGCTCTTTAAAACGTTTATTCCTTCTTCGCTCATTCTTTTAATAAAAAAAAATTAAATATCAAACGAATAAAAATCAAGATGCACATTCAAAATTTGCGTTTTGTTAAGTTTATCTTTTGCAGATGAGAATCCGAAAAGTAGCCGAAACGTTTGCATCGTCATACTTCAATAAATAATTTATAGTTCTTGCGCTCGATCGACCGTATTTTGATTCTCATTTGCCTTCTATTCAATTTTTTTATTCCTAAACATCGCGTCTTCTTTATTAATTTTTTTATGTTACAAATAAAAACATGAAAAGGAGTTTGCAAATCCTTCAATGAACGATCCGTCTCGCAACTCTGTGCAGATTTCTCTCGATCTTTGCTCTCAATCCGTTCTGGAGCATACGGGCTAGAGATCACAGCATAACAAATCGATCTTTCACGCGAACAGATTCACCACCAGGTCCTCAGTGTATGTACACGGAGGTTGCATGGATATTACGACGAACATATGTGCTGACAACCCCAAAAATATGTAACGTGGGACTTCATGTACATCGTACATAACAGACCACCTGCTCCGTAACGAACGTTCCTTCGTAGAATAAACATTATACTGATTTTTCACGATTTAACAACGCAACCAATACGAATTACAACTTAAAAAATGTATACACGATTAATTATCTAATTTAGCCAATTAAAAAATAAAACACGATTATTAATTTAATTAAGGAAGAGCAATAACCTAATATTTATTGTTAATTTTAATTTAAAAAAATTAAAATCTGAATCATTTATGAATAATAATTGCATAAAAATTTATGCGAGATATAATTATTTACATAAAGTTTGTCTCATTTTAATGATTATTTTTATTTTATACAAAAAAAACTGTTACTGAGCTTGATATTAATGTTTCGATTTTTTGAACAGAGAAAAAGATAGTCGATCAAAAGACCGACCGAAAAATAATAACGCAGGGGAGAGTGTATTTTTCGGGATCGCGCCTGTCGAACAAAAGTCACCCTCCGTAACGTTTTTACCTCATCGAATTACTTCACAATGGACAGCGCGACCCCTTTCGAAACCCCTTTCTTTTCCCCTCGCAAGCGACACGAGCCTCTCTCTCTCTCCGCACACAAAACATAATTATCCGAAATCCCAAACAGCATGAAAATTTGATCGGCGCTTTGATAGACGCGGCCCATTAGAGCATTGACCGATGATTAATCTTTCCATTCAGCGGATGGCCCGACAGTATAAAAAAAATCCTTTCGCGGCGAGATTTCATTAAAAGCTTCTTTATTCGCGAGATTCCGAACTCAATGTTCAGACATCAAACATTTTTGTGAGCTATCAATTTGGCGAAATTTTAAATCAAAGCTTATCGCGTCGCAATACATTGAAGAGCTTCTTTCGATGTAGCCATCATGTTTACAATGTATGACACGCACATGGCTAGAGCGCGATTGTATCTCTTTCGTAATGTCGGAAATACGAATCTTACTCTTGAAGGACCATTCACATATTTATATGCGATATAAAGTTATTGCTGCCGTTATTTAGCTCTCAATTGTTAAATTGTTATCATTATTTAGCTCTCAATTTATGCGCAATGCGGATTAATCGTATATTTTTTTATTAATGAGCTCTACGTTTATCAAAAAATCTCTTCAATTTTCGGATTTGTTGTATTGATATAAAATAGTTTCTTGCTATATTGTAAACAGAAGATAAAAATGAATAAATTGCAGACTTTCGTATAAAAGACTGCTATTTTAATGTGTGAATATACCTTAATCGCCAGCACACGTGCGCGACCGTACATCGAGGTAATCGCCGAGATGCACGAGCGGCGATAGAAAGCCTCGAAGCGGCGGTTAAAGTCGATTGTACCGTAACGTCCGTGCGCGCCGAAGAGGCGGCATGAAATATTTATACCACCGTGACAATTACAACGTCACGTAACCGCGGACGGGAGTTCTACGATGATTACATTTACTTTTGCGCGAGAGAGACAAACGGGAAGGGGTGGAATCGTTCGTGTTACCATCAGTTAACAATGTTCGTTATAGCGTATTAGCGTCGCTGCGCAAATCGAGGAGCTCGTTACAGCGGAGAAATCCACGGGACTTTCGACGACTAGTAATTATACTGGTGAAAATTACACGATAATTGGAACTCCATCCTCCGCGCGATGCTGATGATCATTTCAAATTCTGTCCGGCAGCATTCTTTGCCGTTCCAAAATCGCCTAAATCGAACGATTAACAATTCAATTGTCTTCTCGAGATCATCGAGACACTTAATTCCGAATTATAATATCACATACGATTGTTGTACAAAATATGAAAAGAATGGAATCTTGGAATTCTTTCACGTCCCTTTGCGATATTTGAATTTTTACCGTATTTACAGTCGCGTCATACGCATTCGAGCGACTCCGACTTCAAGAGCTTCATACAACTTATTCGCTTATGCAATTAACTTCTGCTGTACTTTGTAGTTGAAGGACGTAAAGCGATTACAAGTCGTCCTATTTTCCCGGGAGTAACTCGCGTAAAGCGTATAACTTATATGAAGTTCACACTCGGGCACTTCGCGCAAAGTGCTAGGCGCTTCTATTCCGTTAACGCGTTTAGGCTAACGAGAACCCTTAGTGAGTTGCGCGGAAAGCACGGCCGTGGTGCTTCGTTAAAAATGCATCCTCGCGTGTCGTTCCTTCTCCACCGTGGCCTCTGTCCGACACCGTGTGCAGTTTCCGTCCTTTTTTTCGCGCTTGTCCGCCATACATATCGCGGCACGCACGAAATCGGTAAGCCGCGACATATGCTGATTTTTAAATAACGTCCCTCCAACAGGCCGCCCGCAGTCAATCGCTGCGCGAACGATTCGCTTCGTTACTGACAAAAGCGTAAAAATCCCGCGTTAATATCGCGCAACTAACGCAGGTAGAGCAATTTTTACTAACAAGCATTTTGTAGCCGCAGCATGTAATATTATATCAAATAACGATTTGCAAAATATTTCCCTTCAACATTTCTGCAGGTTTTTTGAGAAACAAATCTTACAATAGTATTGTCAACATTACGATTGGTATTATATTAATTATTAATACTAGCGTTGTCAGTAAAAAATAATTTCGCGAAATACTTTTGTCTAATTTTCTAGACATTTATGTGGGATATTTCGGAAAAAAGTTTACCGATAATACCAGCAATATTACTACTAATAATTTTGCAACCGCGTGGGTGTCTTTGCACGATATTTCAGGGAAAAAATCTCCCAATAATCGTTAGGAAGTCAGGAATGCTAAAGAACGTTTGCCGTAACACGAAATATCGCGCGTACAAGGGGCGATGGCGTTTCCGAGGCTCCCTGGAGGCCGATAATCTCTCCTCTTCGGACATTACGGTAAACGCGCATTTCCGTGACTTTTTAATCGGCGAAGCAGACCGCGGCGAAACGGCGGAGTTGACTGCTCGTTTCGTCCCTGGCCGAGTCGAGTGAATAATTCACCTCGATCGATCGGTTGCCGCGCGCGCGGCGGTGGCGGCGGCGGCGGCGGCGGCGGTGACGGCGGCCGCGGCGGAATTAATTTAAGTAATTCGACGATCGCTATCGACGGAAGCATTAAATAAAGCACCGTGTGTCCCGCTTTGGGCGAGCCGCGCGTTTAGATTGTAGATCACCGTGACGCGCCGTGCCTGTTACTCGCAAAGCCATCGTTGCATACTTGAGTGGGTTGATCAGGATGAGTGGATCGTCATCCATTTCCACGGCTGTCATTACGTCAAGGAGTCGCGACATATCGCGGAATGTTTGCCGACCCGTTTCGTCTCCGCCCCCCTCCCTCTTCCCCCCCCCCCTCCCCGTGCGCTCGCCCACGAAAATGACAATTCCTGTTTTCAGAGACCGGACGCTTCCGCGACGATATTATTACTGCGCGCTCGTGGCTGACCAAACGTCTACGCAAACTCCTTAACGGGGGGAATGAAAAATATATATTCATTGACCGATGAAGGCTTGCACTATGACGTTTAGGACACTATGTCTCTTGTCACCATAAAGAAACAGTCTAGACAAATGCCTTGAAAATTGACTCATTGCTTCGATAACAGCATTATTCGTTATTATCGCATTAAATAATAATATGTTTCTCGTTCACTAAATTAATGATGAAGACATTAATGAAAAGTAGCTACAAGTCTATTTTAAAGCAACTATTTCGCGTATTTTGAGTTTTATGTAAGAACGCATCTTTTTTATCACTTATCTCATATTCCACGTAAAAATTAAATTTTATCGGTAATAGGAACGGGAGGCTGAAAAGATCGCCGAGGAAGCCGCGGCTCTACGCGACGTGAAAACGGAATTGCCGCCGGCGAGAAGTCCCGACAGCTGGCACAGCAATCCTTACTATCGGCATCTCAACGTCTTGAAGGGTGAGCAAGAGATTTTTAGTGTAAATTAGCTGTCAGACAAAGACGTTTGGAGAAACCTTCTCGATAAACCCACGCACCAAATAATTTAGCATTTAAGAATCACATTTATAATCAAATTCAATTGACTATTATGTATGTAAAATGGAAAATTTTCCAGCGAAACTAATAAAAATTAAAATAATAATGTATTGAAGATCAAAGTTTTATAAATTTGAATTTCCAAAACGAAAGATCTGAAACATCTTAAACATATTCGACAAATAACTTTTTCTTATTAATCTTAACAAAGAAATTTAAAAATATGTACTTTTTTTTAATTCAATTCTATATCATTTCACCAGTACGTGAGCAAAATTTTCCATTTCGTCACAATATAGTTAAAGTTTAATAGGAATGCGGAAACTCGTGATATAATGAATAGCGCCACGTTATAAATTACTGTGATAAATTGAAAACGTCACGGATTCAAAATGCACAGACGGGATAATTCCTGAAATTTCCACCAGAGATGACATTTCCAATTAACATCGTTCGAAATGTGCTTTTCCGCGATATAATTTAGGATCCCTCGGCGAGTCGATGTTGCGGAAAATCGTCCCTCGCGCATTTTCGCGAACGTAGTCTCATGCTAAATTTACACGTTATTTTTGAACCGAGAGTCCGCAGTGGCAACCAGATTAAAAACGTTTTCGTCCACGCGCACCGTTTTACAAGGCGTCCCATTGACATTAGTAATTAATTAGTAACTATCATGGATCAAGCGGCCCGGCGAGAAGATCGGAGTTCCAATTAATTAGAGTAATTAGTCGCGACCGGAGTGTTAAGTGGAAACGCAGAGGGTTGCCTTGATATTCAGATGATGGGGGTGGATCTTGCAGGCTGTAATAACGCGGAAATGGGTTGCGGGTGGCCCCACGACCGACCGAGGGGCGTGATTTGCGCCGACGCTTGCGCGTATCCGCGCTGGCCGCCGCCGAGTTCCGCCGGCGTCGCGACGCCCGCGACTACGAACCCGACGACGCGATGCGTCATGGTGTGCGCGCGTTTTCTTTTAATTTACATTAACAGCGCTCGCAACGAGTAGCAATTACTGGCTTGCGAGTAGATGCGGAACAAGATGGATTAGAATATTTTTACTGACGTTAATTATATAATGTTGCACCGTAAAAAAATTTATGTCAGAGCAGAAGAAACGTTTTTCCGGACGATGGACAATTTATAACATTTGTATAAGTTAGCGAGCACGCGAGAAATGAAAGTATATCGATTGTAAATGTGAAGCTTAACCGATCTAAAATTTAACTAGATTTCCAACTAAAGTTGAATTTTTGTTTGTTTCCCTTTAAAATCGGTGTGATACACCACTCTTTTATTCTTTGAAAATATTCCTCTCAATGATACTCGAGCTGATAACGATGAGCACTGTGCGATGATGCAACATGTAAACACAGAAAACATAGTTGCAAATACAGAGCGCGCGTTTCACAAACATTTATATACACATATACGACGTGTGTATATACGCGTCGTATATCGCCCCCCGAGTGTATCGATGGGCCCATTCAGCGCGGGCGTAAGCCGAAAATAACGAGATAGCTGCCGTATCGGCGCGATGAATACGAATACAGGATCATTGGCGGTGAACGCAGGCACTTTGACTAACGCTTTCCGAAACAGCCTACAGTTTCCGATCTTCTTCCTTTCCTTCCTCGCGCGACCGCACGATCTTTTCAAAGAGTCGCTTTTAAACTCTCCATGCGAGAATAAGCTGACCCTCCCGTTTGACTGAACGATTATTCGCGCAAATTACTCAAATGAGACTAATTGGTTTGTGAATGAGTCTTTGATAAATTCTGAAAAAAAAATTCTCTTACCTCTAATTTTATTTATGCGATATATAATTATTATATATAAAAAAATATTTTTTTAGAGTTTACGGTTGAGTTTACTACTTGCTACTGAATTTGCCGCATTACTACTGAATTTAGAACAGTCTCTCAATATTGCGATGCAAATCTTCAATATTAAAGAAGTTTATATCCCTTTAACTTTAATTCTAATTAATTGTAAATCTCACTCGTCAGTGAACTTAATCAAAATTTTATTTTCTTTATTTTTTAAATTTTTAATCATAAAGTTTCAGTGTTAGAAATATATCTTCAAAATATTTTCAAGGAAAATGAATCTTCATGCTTTTATCATGTCAAATACGCAGGATATAAGATACGTATGCTCTGTCAGACTAATTAAAACTACTACTACTGATCTATTTGCATATTCCACAACTGATCTCGCAGAGAGAGAGAGCCGATGATTGATTTTACATTGCGAGCGTTTACGTTAATGTCATGTTTACACAACGTCGGTATTCACAGGCTACAAGACTCCGCTAATTACCGGGTGATAATTATTGCAGGGAACGAGCCGGCGGAAAGAGCGGGCTCCGATTGCTCGGCTTGCCGTCCGCCACGCGGCATGTTTTACGGCCAAGTCCACAGTCCGTCCGCGTCGACCAATTAATCGAGCTGGCTGGCCGGATCAAGCGACACACAGGAGCAGCAGCGTACGAGGAAGAGAAAAGGAAGGACACATTTATCCCGAAGCGTTCCGTAAGCTTGCGACACGTCCGTTGCCTTAAAAGCACACTCGTCAATCTCTTTGTCCTCGAATTTACGTTCTCGGCGCAACAATGGCCTAACCCGCTCTCTTAAGAACTCGAGGGAATTAATCTTAAAGTCCACGAAATGAGATATAAATTAATCAAATTGTGCAAATTAAATTAATTTAAATTGATCAAGCTTGATATAATTAAATGGTCAATTTTTTTAATTTCATCGAAATTTATTTTCTTAATTTCCTCCTTCTGAAAAGTTAGAACAGTGTTGCGCCGAACCCTTCAATTTGTAATTCGCTTCACGTTCGCGACAACGCTGAAACCGGGCCCAATTTTGTAGTCGAAGGGCCCTTATCCGCGCAAAATATGGATCCGTCGCTAGCAAATGTTAGGAAATGTTGCGTCTCGCGTACTTGTGATATCGGCTAGAAGCAGGCATCAATTTTATTGGGTCGTCAAGCGACAGCTTTTTCGTCTCGTCGAATAATGGATCTTTACTGCAAGGACAACAAAAAAAAAGAATAACTCGTTTTACCGACGCGTCCGCGCGTCTCGTCCTTTTACGGCGTCGTAAGCAGGTGAGCAGATCGATCGCGCGAATCGAGAAGCTTGGTAAGAGGCTTGCGAGCACCCGTTGTGAATATAGAACGGCGCTAGGATAATGTTTGCTGGAGATACTATCGCGTTGATAGAGCGAAGGAAGGAGTTACGTCGACATCTACGAATTCCGCAAGGATTTCCGAGCAGATTCGTTAATCTAGTCTTGTATCATGCCAATTGCCGGAATTTTTTAGCGGAAAGCTCAGTATAACACGCATCCACGTATAAAGAATGCGAAATCGATAAAGATTTAAATTTGATATAATGTGTATAGCATGATTTATATGCCAGATTTAATTTTGTCTTAATTATTTTTTCTGACGAAAAAGTAGATGAGTTTCAATTATATTTTTTAATTTTAACTTTTTCAATATAAAAACAGAAAGAGAATTGACGTTATACTCGAGACAATCATTATTTTTTCTAATTCGCGTCTTTGTTAAAATAATTTTATTTGCTTTACTTCCGTTACGAAATTGAAAATTGTAATAAAAATATCTAAATAAATAATATAGATTTTTAATAAAAAATAAAGTAAAAAAATTCTAAATTGATAGTTCCAATAAAGTTATTGAATTATTAAAGAGATAATTTGATTAAAATTTTATCGTTGAGAACTCATCATTGAGTATCAATTATTTCGTTTGATCTTAATAAATTTATCATATTAATTTGATATGTAGATTTTAATTTAATTTTAACGCAGAATTTGAGTTATATATATACGCACTCCGTGATACGATATCACGAATCAGAGACAGCGATAATCTATCACAGTTTTACCGTCGAGAGTTCCGTCTCGACGCTAATGACGATCGCTCCCGGTGCATGAAGCAGCAGTCAGTGTAGTTTAGGATCGATAGACATTTATCGCGAGGATGATATACACAGTGCAATTGTACTTCGTCTGCGTAATCGATTTAAGCCGATCGAGATAAACCGAACAGACACGACGAGTCGAATTAGAAGAGAAAGAAGAAGAAAAAAAAAAGGAAGAAACTATTCCTCGCGCGCTTTACGCCGTAGATCGCAGCTGTAAGTACCGCCACTAGTAGAGTAATATAAATTGCATCATTGAACATATTACTTACAGCGTATGTGAAAAACCACGAGTGTAATTCAAGGTTCTAATAAAAGATCTTGATCGTTGGGACAGTTTGTGGCGTATTCACTCTCATCCCACCAATAAACTATAATACGGAATCTGTCTTTCATCTGCAACACAATTTTTATCCCGTTTTTTTACTTAATTATATGATTATAATTTCCTCAATAACAATAAAAAATTTAAAAAAAAAATAGATAATAAAAAAAGGGTAAAAAAAGGTAATAATAATTCGAGTATCCGTAGAATAATAGTTCAAGATAAAAAGAGATGAACAATGCAATACGCAAGTTGCACACAGTTGAAATTTCATCGCGGCTCAAGCTCGGCGTGATTTATTTCAAAGCGATGGTTTTATCAAAGTTTCGTTTCACGGCATCTTTATCCACTTCCAGAAGTTTCGCGACGCGCGTTACTGCACCAACACCGGCGATAGTCGAGACTAATACGTTATCAGAGAGGAAGCGACACTCTTTCTCTCCCTCACGGGGAGAAACAAATCTTTTTCAATTACTGGAGAAACGGTTGTATTGTAGGACGCGCGGTGTAATCTTGGCCGTCGCTTATATCCCGCCCGTGCAAAATCCTTGGGGAGCCCTCCGGCTTCGTGGTACGTAAGGACGCTTCAGTGAGCAAAAACCCTTAACTGATGCAGCCCCGCCGCGGTCCCCGGACGGTCGTCAGCAGAATTTCGGATCTCGACCACACATGGTGGTACTTACGCGACGCTCTCGCAAGTACAAAGCTTGTACGCGACTGCCAGAATTATTAAAATCCGCAAACTCGAAGATACAATTTTCGAAGAACATCAAACAATCGTAAAGTGTCATCGGTCGCGGAGGAAAAGGCATCATTTTGACCGCGGCGAAGGAATCTTGTACTATTTTTTTGTTATCATAGAGAAAAAAATTTTCATTCTCCGATATTCATTCCGCATTTCGTACAACGACATCTTTTTCCCTTGGAAAAGCAATTATACTCGAAATTCCAATGAGAATTCTATAAAAAATTGCGGATGATGCCAGAGAGTGTCAATAATGGACATCCGTCGGAGTAGCATCGTCTGCGTCTAATGTTCCGGCAAATTGGCTTCGCGAATGTAGCTTCGCGGGTCGCCTCCCGGGAGGAATCTGCAAGTACGAGCGGAAGATTCCTCTCGTTGCGCCGATTTTTTTCCCGTAAGTACGTCACGTTTCGACGATACCGGGGATATCCGTCCGCGCGCGCCTCGCCGAAATCGGCTTCGTTCCGCAGAGCCAGCCAACCCCGTAACTGGAGGAATTTGTAAGGAAACGAGAGACGAGGATCCTCCTCAGCGGACGTGCACGTAAGCGTTCTTGTGGCTGCGCAAAATTGCCCGGAAAGGAAAGAAATGTACAGCCGAAAATAGGACTGAAAGCATAGCATCTTTAACAAATCGCCGTAAGTTAAATTAAGCTTTCAGAAATAAAAAAATTAATCAAAACAAAATCATATTGATCAAATAGTCTATTTGTAAGATAAAAAGTAACAAATAAAAGAATTAATCAAGAAAAGTGCATGTAAATATGATTTTATTCAACGTTTATATTTTCATTGTAGTTTAATGTTTTATCCGTAATTTATTGAAATGTATTTGATCGCAAAAATTTGATAACATATTGATCTGCGTAAGTCCAATACTATGTTTTCGAGGACGAAAAACTAGAGTTTTCCGAAGGAAACGCAAATTAGAATCCAGGAGAAAAATCGCCGATAGTATCGCGAATCGATTCGCTTCACGGCACTTACGTGCGCTTCCATCTCGCGCAAAGGTCGCGTATAACGAGCTGTGATTTGAATACGTGCTTCAATCGTCCACAATGGAGACGCCGGGTCGGTGGGTATTTAAAGAAACATTTTAATTGCAGGACGTAAGCCGCTTACGTGTCCCCTCTCTCGTACGTTAATAAAAACAGCCCCATCCGCCTATTTCAAGGAAGCGGCCGAGCTTTCCGCTTGCATTGTGCGCTCCGCGGAAAGTAATTCGACCTGTTCTCGTCTCGCTCGGCCAAAAATTATGCCCGGCACCACCCTCGTTTGCTTTGAAGGAAAAAAGCTGCTAGATTAAAAATTGCAAAGTGGAAGCTTATGACAATTCTCTTAACTAAAAATTTTCCTGAATACGATTTCATAAATCTTTTTACGAATATCTTTAAAAATTAAAAACTCTGCAATTCTTTTCTAGATTCTGTCACAAAAATATCGATTGCCAGTACACTGCTCTTTCAAATATCTTTAAAAATCGGGAAGGAATTATTTCTTCTAGCACAAAATCCTTTTCTTTCTCGCCAGGCACAATCCCAACGTTCCGGATAAAATCGCGCTGGTCTCCCGAGAGACGTCGATTTAAGCTTTCTATGGTAACTGTCGGGGCTGGCGACGGCTCGGCTGTGAAGAAGGAACGTATAAAGAAGCGACGCCTCTGTAATTGGGCATCAAAAGGCGATATTTCGCGCGTACGCCGGCGAAGGGCGATCGTCGACGGCAGCAGAAGAGGAGGCCGAGCGCGAGCCGGGTGCGCTCTCGCGGTTCCGTCGCGTACCGCGTGGCCGCGAGAGGGGTGGCATTTTACGATAGGGTCGGTTCCACCCCCCGGAATGATGATGGTATGCCTTGTTACCGCGGCGGCCGAGAAGAGAGTCGCGCTCCCCCGGGTAATATCGCATACAATTATGTCCACAGAAGGGAAGACACGTATGCATTATGGATGCGGTGCGCCCGCACCCCGCAGTACGTACCTCCGGTAAATCATGTCACAGGGTTGGTTAACTCTGCAAATGATCTGAAGCGTTGCGCGCCTCGTCGGCCACCCAATCTTTTCTTTTTCATCTTATTCTACGCCTCTTCTCCTTGTCTCTTCTTCTTTACCGATTAAATATCTGCGTGACAACTGAAATGAAAGATAGAGAAACGCCGAGGTGCATTTAATGTACATAAGATTACTCGTACAACTGAATACGATTAAAGAAAAATATAGCTCAAAACAATAATAAGACACAATTTCTAATGGAAAAGAAAAAAACATATATAGTTTACGATAATAATAAAATATAATTTGAATTATTTAATACAATTGCATCGTTGGATCAGCTGCAATTGTATTGAATAAAATTTTATTTAATAAAAACTTGATGTATCAAAAAAAATCAAGTGAAAGGGCAGAAAATATAATTGATATAAATTAACTCCATAAAGGTGAGCACACACATATTGAAACGGGATCTTCGCGATGCGGAATGAAATTCATGCTATGACATAGAGCACACTTTATTTCTCAATTAGTGTTTATAATAATCATTTAGCATTGACCGAAATTGAATATATATATATCGTATATTTCTCTTTAATCGAGTTCAATATAATCGTAGTAGATTAATTCATTACCAATACAAGTTGTTAATTAATCGTAATGTATTGTCTGAAAGTATCACTGCGTTGCATCCACTGGTCGTCCCCTTCGCACTTCGTCAGAACGGGGATCAACGGAAACGGCTCTCGCGGCGATGGGATGCGCGGAGGGTTAGAGAGGAGAAAAAGGTGTATCGAGGTGGGCAGGGGTCGTCGAGTGGGCGCCGATATTTTTTTTTCAACACGCGCGCGACGCATCTCGCATCTCCCGCGAACCCCGGACTCTCTGGCGCTTACAAAATATAAGTGGACCCGACACATTTACGGGAAACGCGAAACTCGTCGCGATCCCACGCGTACATAAAGATGCTCGTGTAGAGAAAGATGCGAGGAAGGAGGAAGGACAGAGAACGAGAAAGAGACTGTGAAAGGAAGATGGAGAGAAGGGAAACACCAGAAGCTCCTTTCTCCGTGACCAAGGATGCTCAGTGATTTTTTTTTTTTGTCGGGGACCGATAGATCCGGCGCGTCCGCTCGATCCCCAAATAGATTAGATTACAATTAGAACGTGGAGAACTCGTTGCGCCCGCCTAAGAATCACACGCGCGCTGATACTTCTATGTTAAAAATTGTTTGTCTTATATCTTCTAAATATGCATACGTCGGGATAATAAATGAAGTGTAAATCACGATGAATCTAAACTCGTTATTCCGGGAAAGAACGATCTATTTACCTTTTGCGCTGCTAATTGCTATTAAATGCTGTCCTTATGTCTAGTCACTGGCAAATCTAGATGTGATTTTATAGACATTAGATAGCATGATTGTAAGTTGAAATGCTGAAAAGTATTTCAAGCGCAGAAAGAAATAAGTAAATTTTAGAGTAGCAAAGAAAGAGAAAAGTTCGAGAGTGAAAAGAGTTTCAGTAAGCTTAAGTAAGTAAAAAGAGCTTTAAAAAATTCTAGTGAGTAAATTCAGTCTCTCTTTCAAAATTACTTCAGACTGTAAAAAAAAAGTCAGATGAAAATGATGAGTGACAAAAATGCATCTCGCTCAGGCGAAGACGCGCGAGCTCTCCCGCCGAACAATATTCAACATTTAACAATAGCCAACATTTATAGAATAAGATACCGATTTAGTAATTATCATTAAGTTCATTCTCTCTCGCGATCGCGCCAATCTCGCCGCCTTTCCTTCGCATTTCTTTTTCCGCCATGCCAGATCGCAAATCGGCCCGCAAACAATCAAACGCAAACTGCAGACCGACGCGAGTGTAAATTAACACAGTATATCACGCAGCAATATAAATTTCTTCCCGCACAGGTAGTAGTAGCGTATATATATATAATATATATATATTTTTTTCTCTTCCTTTTCTCTCTTCCTAGCGCAGTGTTTCTCAAACTTATTTCCTCCCTCTGCCGATCGACGAGAACTCTCGATCAGGGGCAGGTTTTCGCACGAATATTGAGAATACGTAGACCTCAGGTTCTATCGATAGCTGTCAGATAATCCCCCAAAATTATTTCGTAAATATTTGTCGATTTCTTGCAGCTATACAAAATGTCGCAAAGATATCGCCACCCTCAACACTCTACTTTAGATATTTATATGATTAATCCTGCGGTTAAGATTAAAAAATACTTCAAATTAAGTGAGACGCTATTCACTATCCATCCCTAATTATTCCACTAAAATTATGTTTCTATATTTTAACATTGCATTAATTCGTGAAAATTGCTAGAATCTCGCTATTTTTTATTCTGCATCTAGTATCTACGTTTTTTGGTAGCTGTGATAATTTTGGGACATTCTGCAAAGCAAACAGGATAACAGATTCACATTTTTTCTTGGACATTTTTTTCATTGAGGATTTAGATATTATTAGCTTCAAACCCTGAAGAATCGTCACCCGCCCCTGCTCTCGACGCGAAATAATTAGCGTTTTATTGCTATCATTCTAATTGACAAAACTTCGCCGATATACAGCCAGAAAACATGATCTCGCTACGATCGAGCTGCAGGGTATCGAAATCACTGATCCTCGATTAGTCGCATCGAAAATTTAATCAGCGTTCGTTGCAATTTCTTCTTAATTTTCTAAATATAAGTATACTTAAAATTAAATCTTTATTAATACAAACTGCTATTAAAAATTAACCGAGAAATGAGATAATCCATTTAAAGCTTAAAATTAAAAATTTAATTGGCAAAAATTATTTTATGACTTTATCTGCTATTTTTTATCATTAATATGTTAATAATTAATTTACGTCGATATAAAAAAATTAAGATAAATAATAATTTCGAATAATATTTTCTACATTTATTAACATCTATTTTTAAATCAAATTCAATAAATCACGCAAACAATCGAGGATCATTTTCTTCGATGTTTACGTCCGCTTGATGCGGATTTTTAATTTCGCATCGGAGAAAATCGCCGGAGCAAAAGTGAGCGAAGGCTCCTACGCGATTCGCGTCGCCGTATACGAGAAGAAGATTAATACAAATCTCCGATATACATTACACTTCAATCAGGTAAATTAGCGAAAATGATTATTAGACCGCTACGAAATAATCGTCCGTCACTTTCGCTCCGCTCTGACCTCCCCACACTGACAATCCCCGCCTCGATGTTTTGAGAAACACTGGACCAGCGATGGCCCCACCGGCTAAACACCGTGATGTTAAACTCTTAATATTGCACAACATCGATAATACCTCAAGTTCCACGAAAGGAGTTTCGTTTTATCTCACAGCGATATTATAGTGTAAGTGAAACACGCGTGCGTACTTTTTCCTCCCACGTTCCACGGCTTGTCCTCCGTTATACTACTCGTCGTCTCCCTCAAGTAAGGACTTAACTGGCGACGGTGATAGCAGCAAGTGATAACATCGGTGGTATATCGTCTCGATACAGTGATTAATTGTGTAAACTTGGTTACGGCGTATCGCTCCGCGGACACCCTCCGATTCGAGCGTGTTCCTAATACGTCTAACACGTCAATACTTTTCTACATCGTAGCTCCTTCAATATCAAAGGAATGTAATCAAGAGATTATATAGCTACTTCAAGCCATTCGTCTTCCTCCATGTCGCGCGACGTACCTACGGAAACTCTACAGCTTCTTCCAAAATCGCTTAAGTCTACGAGTCTGCTAAGAGACCCTCTACGCTACCGCGCGGAAAATAATTCAGCGTACGGCTGAAATGATTTGGTTAAGCGTAAAAGCTGAAATCAGATTATCCTATGTCTTTTTATGTACTTCTTATCCTATCGACGAGTCGCTCGACGCGGAGGACGTCCGGTGTCACCCTTCGGGATTTCACATAATTTCCATCTGTGAATTTAATGTATATAATAAAAAACATCTCCCGCCGAACTTGCGGCGATTACAATGATAATAATGACAATAAAATATATGAGCAATGATAATGGAAAGATAACACCGTCGTGTTCGCCGTCGCCTTAATCGACAATATGTATACGTGTAAGTAATATACGCTAGTGTCATTACATTATGCTTAGCAGATATCGCTCGAAGATTTACCTAAAATCCACGTGGCAACAAATAACCAAGTTTTCCTTAATTACTTTCATTGTTCTGGCGGTTGAACTCTCATACAAAGTCAGAAAGAAGGAAGGGAAACCGAATGCGGGATTTTACAGAAGTATATGCCGAACGCGGATTAAATGTATAAACGTTCCGAGATGCTGGATTAAAACGGGAAATCTGCTATTCCTCATTTTACTGAAGATTAATAATATTAATCTGTTGCATATACCATTTTTCGGAGGTATACAAAAAAATTTTTTAAAAACCGGTATATATTCTATAAATAAAAAATTATTATAAATAAAATCATGATAACAAACGGAAGTTTTGACGATGCAAATTGTACAAATGATAAAGTAACGTCGAAAAAGCATCGAGTGCGCTGAAAATTCAGCCAAGCAAAACTCAGAAATTACTCTAAAATTACCTCCGTTTTCCACGAGGCAATTTTCCATGGCCTAAAATAGCGCCTGTGTTTCGAAAATATAATCCTAGAAATAATTTTTTACTTTTTCTGATATATTCGTAGCTTTATTTTTTCTCTCTTTTTTTTTAATTATTTTGATCTAATTTAATTAACATCGATTAATATTTTGAAAACAAATATAAATTGTATAAAAAATATAAAGGATAATTGAATTGACATTATTTTATACAAATAGATTTTTCATTGAGTTTTGCTTTCTTCAGCATTGACCCAAAATTCTTTCGACAAATAAATAAATCGATTGACATTGTGATCGTAAAAAGTTAATTAATATTATCTGCAACAATTACGAATAAATCAAAGTGACTTCGTGGAAGAGATTTGCCGCCATTTCGAGGTTCACTTAAAGTAAATCCTAACTTCTAGCTAGTGTCGTCTAGCAATCAAAGAAGAAGAAAGGAACAAAGATAAAAAAACGAATAAAAAAAGAACAGTGAACGATCGAAAGAATGGTCGACTGAGGAATGGAAACGAATCACTATAATATTACTATTATACGAGTACGTTACACGAGTAATGAGTTTTCTGCGGCGCGCGGACCAATGCAAAATATACACCGCGGTCGGACGACCGTGCCTCTCGCGAGAAAAGCCGTGCGCTTGATTATAGAAACGAACCCGTGAAGAAACTTACGCGATTTAATGGCCGAGAATCCTACGCATTACGCGAAAGGAGAGCAAGTGAACAGACCGGAGTAAGATTGCTTCAGTGACGTCAGAACGTTCCGGTGCAACAATTAAAAATGCAATGACTTAAAAGAAAGTTGCCTTTTAATGTCGTCTTCTACATTGGAAGCTTTCAACTCGAATCACGCCGCTCCGCTACAGTTTTCTAGTTAACAGACTCAGCTCGTTCATTTAACATTTCCCGATATAAATAGAAGAAGATTTAAGAAAGATTAATCGACGATTATGCAGCGTAATGCTAAGCCCGAAACCCTTACTTACCCCCCGAGCGAAACGTTCAATCTGCTGGAGCAATCTCACGCCATTCGAAAACCCACACGCGACACGCGATGGATGGACGAAATACAGCTTGTGACAGAAACGTAAGCCGAGCCGAGCCTTCGGCTCATCGTCGGGACAATGCGGCGCATTCGGGACAAAACTAATTAAACTCCTAGCAGGATTTATCGGAAAAATTCACGTTCCGCCATCATCGATTCACGCTGCGCTCGAGTTTTTTTTTCTTTTGTGCATTCGAACTATGGTGAAAATATTCCGAAAGCATCTCGACGAGGCGAAAGATAATGTAAAAAAGAAGACGAAGAGAGAGAGAGAGATAGAGATAGAGAAAGAGAGCCGCCCTTGATAGTGAACTGCTATCGTAGGTACCTTGACGTGTGTGTCTGTTAATCTGTAAATATATGTATATGTATGTGTTAATATACGATGTGTTTCGTATTTGTATAATAACGATCTATATGTATCTATGCATTTTCTAGGTATGCATTCGTGTTTGTATTCGTATGCATGTCTCTCTGTATGTGTACCTGTATATTGTATATATGTCTGCGCGCGCGAAGGTCCTTACGTCGATAAAATACACTATAACATTATATATGTACATTAACATGCGTAATAGAGGCTATTCTCGGGGTCTGAGGGAGGGAAACTCCGTACAGAGAGGGCGGGAGAGGGGAGGGGGGAAAAAAGGGTGGAATAGAGAAACTCTTGAATCGCGTCTTGGACACAAGCTTGAGAGACCGCAAACGTAAGTTGACAGATAGACAAGGTGGATAAGTCGTCGAGAGGGGAGAGCGGGAGGGAAAGGGTTCGTCTAGATTTTAGGCTAGCTGGAGAGCAGAATAATCCTGTAGTGGTAGACGCTAGTGAACGAATATATAAGGTCTTTGGCTTCGAGATGCACGGCGTCCTCTTAGGGTAATGGCACTACGACCTGCACGTAGGACACGGGGAAGTAACCGGTGCGGCCGTCCAGGCTGCCCTCGTACCAATTGTCGTCGATCTTCTGGGTCAAGGTGATTGTGTCGTTCTCCTGCAACGAGAACGCGGGGCATTAAGGCGTGATTAATTATTTGTCGCGGGAAATTCAAAGGCCTGAAAAGCCGTCTGGGGAAAATTGAAAAAAGTTCGCGGACGGTCAAAGTGCTCGGAGCGAAAATAAATCAAGTTTAAAAATTCAGAAGGTTTCTAAGGGGAAAAAAAAATAGTAAATAAAGGGCAAATGAGAACCAAGCTGTTAAAAGCGCAAGAGGCAATACGCAAGATCCGAATTGAATTAACAAAATTGAGTAGAAAACACGTGCGTCGGTTCGCTGATTTAATACGAAGCTGACGTATGTATCTTTTACTCAAGTTTGTTAATTTGATTAAAAAAAAACTTCGCATACCATTTTTTACCTCTTTTTTTTTTTAAGTGCATTACGCTAGCATTACTTAAAGCGAAGACCTTGATTCTTATTTGTCGTGTGATTAATTTTGTATTTTTAGAACACATCTCTGTTTGATCAAAAAATTTATTTTAAAGATGAGCTTTAATAAAAGATTGTTCAAAAATACTTATTATTTTTTACATTGCTGTCTAACAGATATTGCACGATCTTTGCACTTTTTTTAGCAAGCGCTTTATATTCAGATTATGATAAATTGCACGTTCACCTTGAATCCAAGTTCACCGGGATTCTCAGGCTCGAAATCGTAGAGGGCTGTGCAGCACGGCGTTCTCGGTTGTGTTATCGGCGTCCTCGCTGGCGACTTGCTCGGTGAGGGCAAGGGCGAGGCTGAAAATAATCGGCACGAATGTGCTAAGCTACCGAAGGCCGCCGCTAATCTGACAAAAAAAAAAAAAACAACGCCGTGCGGCGACTACGTGTCGTATCGCGTACGCTAAAACTACAACACATATTTAACAATCCGCCACGGTGATCGTGGATCATCTCTGCGCGAAAACATCGCATCGTGTGTCGAACAAAGCAGTGGCGGCGATGTGCTATACCGTTCTCTTTCTAAATGCGAAAGTAAAATAACGTCGTTCCGAATGCTCGAAGATAAAAAGAAAAAACAAACCCCTTAACTGAAACTTATTATTTAATTATTAAAGCTGCCAACTGAAACTTTTACGGCAAAAAGGAGACATATAAAAAAAGTATGCTATTATTTTGAAAAGATTGGCTGCATCTTTCGAGGCAAAATGTAAATCCAATAATTACAGTTGATCCAATCGCCGCATTTTTAACTTAACAAAGTTTGGAAAAACTATTTCTCCTTCTTGCTGCAGATTATCCGATCACTTAAAAACTATCGAACGCAACACCTTCTTCTACGGCACAGGGTGGCAGGGCACTATCTAACAAACATGCATGGTGATTGGTTATTGCTGCCGTTGCACACGAGAAAGCGGTGTGAATAACCCCATTGAAAGAAAATTAAAAAATTGAAAGAAAACAAAGTTAAGTATATTAAGGCAGAACCGGTCGCACCAACAGCGCGATTATCAATACCGATAAAGGATCCGTTTCTGGATCAGAGACCGTTTACCGGATAAAGCGATAGAAACTTTAGGCAATTACGGCGAGCGTTAAGCGGCCTTAACTGCGCGACTCGCAGTTGGTGCAACCGTTCTCGGAACGGACTCGTCCCGTCGTTTGTTCGGACAGAGCGAGCGAGAGAGCGAAGTAGGAAACCCCCATGCAAAGTTTACCATTGGTAGATTGTGGCGGGTTTCCGGCCGGAAATAGCTCGAGCTGCGAGCGCTTCCCGTCCCCGTGAATCGGAGAGCCGGCTCGACTTGCCCCTACATTGTGTCAGAAGGACAAACATTCAGGTATGCCACATTATATACACACAGCACAATCGAAGGAAGAATGGTGTGACAGACGATGTGTGTGTGTGTGTATGTATGTGTGTGTATGTGTCCATCCATGTGTATTGTTCGCGCGAAACCGCGAGAGTTTATTCGTGAAAGCGTTAATGTTCAACGCGTTCAATCGACAGTGCGATGAATGTAAATATTTGTTCCGCGCGCATCCATGAATAATAGCTTTCATTTATGTTGTATATACGAAAGGAGGGAGACGGTTCGGGAGGGTAAAATTAGTTGGCTCACATCCTGGTCGACCCGGACAGGTGCAATTTGTACGTGCGAGACACAGAGAGTTCGACGTTAAACGGCTTCGCCGAAGGCGCTCCCCATACAAAATATAAAAGACAGAGGAATGCAGTATATTAGTTATCGTGGCACCACGTGAGAACACGTAAACGACATGACAGAGAAAGAGAGAGAGAGAGAGAGAGAAATAAGGGAAAACGGGAGGAACAGTTAGACAGCCAGACCACCCCGAATGTCGTCGCGTTGTGTGTCGAGTATTTGTGAAATGCGTTTTACCGTGTAGGAAGAAGTTCCCACCGTTCATGTGGTCCGACCCCAGCCCACTCTCCACGTGCAGATCCGCGAGTGTCTTCGGCACGAATTCCAACTTCGGTCGGTTCGCCGCCTCCTCTTTCCTGAAAAGCAAGTTTCATCCGTAGACAATATTATTCGCACAATCAAATTCATTCAGACAACATAGAAGAGTTACTCGATCGTGGAAGCTTCGCTTCGGAGCAAAGTTTCGTTTTGTGCGCAAGGATTCATTTACGAAAAAAAAAATATATATATATATACAACAAATGCGTTATATTGAAAGGAATTTTGTGTCGGACAATAAATCGCAAATAACACTGAGCGTGTGAGTTTTATTTTCAAGGAGCTGCGAAAAATTGGAAAATTCTGCAAACCAGTTTTGCGCGCTACAGAAAAAGTATGTGACGTGTGTTTGTAAGAGGCGTCAGTTTCTAACGGCATCGTACGATCACAGACATACTTTTCCAGAAGCGTTTCCGTCAACCCCCTGAGAACCTCGACGCACTGTTGATGGTACTCGAGGAGGGCCTCGCTGAAGGTGGCCAACTGCGCGACTTGCTCGACCTGCAACGAGACGGTATGAGAATTTCGAGCAAGTCAATTCCCGGATTAAGGAAGATCGACTTACGTCGTTCTCCAGCAGGTTGAACATGCCCATCTGCGCCAGATGAAGACTCTCCGCGAACTTCTCCTCGGCCTGACGAATCTCGTCGTCTGAAACGTGAGAACCTGTTCGCGAACGGTTGCCCCGCCGACATATTAAAAAGGTTGCACTACTGGGTTGCTTGCTTGCCTAAATCTAAACACTTAAAGTACGGCGCGGGAACAGAAAAGCGCAATCAATTCTACGAGAGCGCAAGCGTAACGCCTGAGCTGAGTAGAAAAAGCTGTGTTTTCACTTGGATAGAATTATCATTCCAAAAACTGAGTGATCACAAAGGTTTACAATGCGGAAATTTACAAAGCTAATTTTTCGAACATTCTTCAGAAATTTCTTTGGATATCTTCGAAATTTGTTTGGCAATTCTACGGGAGTTTTGGCGAGGGACCAACAAACGTATCGATCGACACTCCAAAAATACGGGCAGCGACAGGCGTCTAAAACACGTAAACGGAAGTCACTATACCGGCATATGGCGACGAAGTGTTTGACCGCGCTGGGCTTCCGAAATGCGGACTGACAGATCTTTTCCCTGCTGATAATTAAGCGAGCGTCCAACGGAAAACAGCAAAGATCACGCCAATCATCAATAAAAAGCAAAAATCTTTTGCAGCAAATCATAATAATAATCGCAATGGCAAACGTTTCACATTAAATTTCAATTAACCTCTCTAATTAATGCTAAAATCTAATTAAAGTTCTCGCTGTAAATAAATTAAAAATTTTTTAAAACTCAGTGTCCACGCTGTTTATTTAATTTCAGCAAGGTCTTGACGATTTTAAATATATGAATTAATGTGAAAAATATAACGAGATTCGTAAAATTTAACATAAATTTATTGAATTGCATGAATGCTTGAAGATTGAAAAATATTTCTCTTTCGCGCGCTCTACTTTCAATCCACAGTATAATACTAATCTTTATTCTATTTGATCGTGCTCATGCAGCGCAGCATGCGATTAAGGTATCTCCTTTCTATTACGAAAAACAAGAGCTGCATTATTGGCCTCTACTCATGCAACGATTGCATCGTAACAGCGCGATATTCTGAAAGGACGAGTCATTTATTAAACATTATTCTATTTTCTCATAACGCATGCCGATAATGGTAAGTGAAGCTGCCTTTGCAAAGAGAGCTTAAAAATCCACCGGTGATTACGCTGAAAAAATATAAACGAAAAGTCTACATAGAGACTACTGCCTGAAGAGAAAATATATCTGTCCCTTTAACAATATAACAATATAATTTAATATTAAAATTTATGAGATTAACAAAGTTAAGATTAAAATTATGATAAAAAATATAAATAAAATGCGATTCATAGTTCACAAAGGCAACAACTTTTTTAATTTTAATTTTATAAATTACTTCAGAGACACACTTTTTTACTTGTAAAACAAAGTTGTGATAATAAATAAAAAAATAATGTCTGCGACAGAAAATTTTTTTAGATATATATTATTCGCATGCTTATTTCGAAAATTGCAATCGTGATTCTTTTCTATCTATATCCCTCGCTCTAATCATGAGACACTTTTATCTCTGCCAGCGTGACCTTTCGCCATACCATAACGTCGCCTTTCACACTTCCCTTTACGACGTCACTAACGCGGGGAAATCACGATCGTGCGGTTCCGGCTTTTCCCCCGTCGCAGTGGCAATTTTCCAGTGTCATTATACGCGTTATAGCTCCATCCATAGTTTTTATTTCGACTCGTCAAATTGCGAGCGTCGCGGGAGAGCGACGACGTGTTCATGCAAGGACACGTGCGACGGCTGCGGCGTCGCTTTGCTGCCGCGCGCCTGAATAAATCAATAAGAACGCGAACGCGAGAGGACGAGAAGCGAGAACGACATGCGGGGAACTTTAACGTACCTTTCGCCTGACGTCTTCGCTTGCAATCGAAGTCCAGCCTACGGCCTTGCAGTTTCTTCCGGTGGTGCTGAAACAACAAATCAGAGCGGATCGAACCGTGCGCGTCGACGTAGGCGTGAGGAGAGAAGCGACGCGACGCTTGACGGCGTTCTAGTCGGACAGAACACACAACTTTTCTAATAACCGTACCATCACTTCTTTGAGATCCTTCGTTTGCAGATGGTGCAGTGGCTCAAGGAAGTTCTGCTTGATGTTGTCGTCCAGCGAATACTTCACGTCCGCCATCTGCCTCATGGCTTCGCCCATTTCAATGAGAGCCTGAGCTGTAAGGATTGATAAAAAGGTGAGAGATAAGGTGGCGGCTCTCTTTAGACAGTATATTCTGCCATTCTATGGATTCTCACAGTGTCTCTCTTTTAATAAAAAAAATTGCAGTCACGTTTACTCGAATCTCAGTAAATCTTGAAGCACAATTCTACTCTTTACTATTCTTATTTGATTTAATATTATCACTTTTAATTTAATTGCTACCTAAATTATTAATTTTTTTGCTAAAAACTTGTCAATTAGAAGATCGTTTCGGAAAGAAAAATTCGGAATAATAATTTTGCAAATAAGGTTTTCGTGCAAATAAAGATAACAAAATGTTGGTCGTAAAAATATTTTTAAAAAATGGCATTCGTTTGAAAAAATAATATTTTTAAATCGCGAATGAGTTTTTTCGCGGCGAGACAATTATCGGCTTTAGATTGCACATACCGAAAATGCTGTCATCGCCCATTTTCTTGCCGTAGGTGAGCATACAGTCCCCGAGTACACCTTCCGGTTGGGGATAGGTGGAGGCCTTCGCCTGACCGCTGAGCTTGCTGATACCCTTGACCGCAGCCATTTTCGCCCTCGCCGTTGGATTCGGCTGCAGGAACTCCTTCGTCTTCAACTGCAGCTCCTCCACGAGCTCGCAGGTGACGTCTGTTTTCTACGCGTGACAATTTTTTTTACGTGAAATTCTGTGTTTCTCTTGTCAATTCACTTTGACGCGAAAACGTCATGAAGCAACACGAAGAGCTCTCGAAGTTATTAACTATCGATCAAAATGAGCGTAATAAGATAAAGTATTCGAGATATTGCCTCTCTCAAAGTAATGTCTGCGGAATTTAATAACAAAGTTTTCAGTGTAACTTTTAAAAACGCATTATCCCCTTCCCCCCCTTGCAGAAATGTCTTCGATAGCCTCGCATTTTACATAAGCTTCAATTTTGGCAAATCATATAGCTATTTAAATTCTCCTTAAATAATTCTTTTATAATTATAAATTTCTGCACAAAAAAAATTAATTTGCAAATGTAAAGCTGCACCGAAACTCGCAATCAGAGAATTAAAAGAAAGAGGAACTTTACTATTCGTTTTCGAGAAATTATGTCGTGTCATGTCAACAAAGTTGAAACAAAGCGTTTAAATAAAAACTGGTGGTAAAAAATCTTTCCACGAAACACTGTCTTATAATATATTCCATCTCGCAACTGCCGGCTCCATACTTCCAGGAAAATAAAGTAAGCGCTTTGAAAGATGGTAAATGATTGATAAAACCCCGAGTAGAGAGCCAGAGGATGCCCAGTAAATCTTTGAAATTCAGTAATAATGTCACCGTATGAAGCATGCAAGTCATCCTTTCTTGACGTCCTCACAAAGGAACCATGCGAAAATGTGGAAGATGTTCTTCTCCACTTCGCACACGTACAACACGCACACATACACGTTTGACATATACAGGACGCGCAAAAACACATCACTCACCCTCTCCATGTCCACGAAGTCAACGTCGAGCTTCGTTCCCTCCGCTCCACCCATTTTCTCCGTCATGTACTGCAATAGAAAATTCATTATCCTTAGCGTAAAAAACACAGCTGTTAAATGAACGATGCATTTTGTGCACGATAAAAAAAAATTGTTAACATGACGTGAAATCTGTTCCATTGGTAAATTATTTATTTTCAAACATTTAAGCCAAACGGTTAATATTGCGTCAGTAATATTAATAGATTCGCGTGATTTAAAGCAACAATATGATTTCGTCGACATTTTTCATTTGAATTATAAATGCTGCAGCACTAACCAATGTACAGCATCAATTTGAAAAACTAAAACAAATAAATGATGCAGTTGAATTAATTTCGCATTATTTTGTATTTATCAAAAATACAGAGCTGAATCAAAAAATCACTTTTTCTCATTTTATACATTTTTTCCAGTGTCTCACAATCTGACCCGACAAAATCACGAAGATGTTAAAATTTGACTTGGTCAAACTTCCCAAGTATTATCAAAACTTTCTCACTCGCCTCTTACCGCCGAAACGCTTAAAAGAAAAAAGATACTTTATCATCTCCCTTGCGAATACCTCGTCATAAATAATTGCAAATGTTTGTAGTTGTAAGAAAGCTCTGGGATTTTATTTTCGATATAAAAAAAAATCAATCCTTCGCGTTGAATCTCGTCTTCTAGACGTGTCGTACATTTTGCAAGAAAGATTGTAGATATTAAACACGTTTCTCACACACAATCGGCCTGTTTGCTCATCCCGAAATGAGATTTTGAAATGCTCTCTGCAATGCGTGAAAATCGATTCTTCAGAAAATAAAATTACACTATGTACCTTCAATCTTTCTGAAAGCCAATTTAAGTGGATGTGTTTCGTGTGTTAAAAAAATTTGACGAACAAACATGAATCTAAGGAACTAAAAATATACTATTCAATATTTCAAGATTCTGAGTATTCGAGAATGGAAAAATAAAAAGTACGAGATGCAGAAGTATATCAAATATTTAAAAATAGAAGATCAATTTTTTATAAATTTCTATAAATCTTATTAATAAATTATTAATAAACCAGGTAAGCACTTCACGCTTGTGTGATCATCATTGTCGAAAATTTCCCGTAACTTCCTTAACATAACATTTTTGCGGGCCGCGTCGATTGGACAAGGTCGGTTAATTGCTCGTAAATCAGGATCATCTTGAGATACAGTAGAAGCTTTCCTCGGATATTTCAGAGAACGAAATCAGGGATCGAGAAGTATCTTAGAAGCTTGAGAGGGATGTTAAAAGCAGAGGAAATATCATTGACAAGGACGGCTTCTGCGATCAATAATATGACGCAGCTCATCAATTTATCAAGATGCGAAATAGTGCTCCCCACTGAATCTCTACCAATGCGAAAAAGAATACGCATCCTGCCAAGTGCCGCGAAATTCAGGTCGTTTCGAGAGTACGAGAGCTCGCAAAAAGAATCACGTAATCTCTCTTAAATAAATTTTCAATTTTCAATTTTACTACAAATTTCGACGAGTCTCGTCGATTTTATTTTATTCGCTTAATCGAAGCTGTGATATACATAATAATATATGATGGATTGTGCATTATATAAAGAGGACCAGTTGAGTGAAGTAGTAAAGTGCAACGATAGTACGACGCATCGAAATTTAAGGTCGAATTGCTCCGTTAAGCAGAACTAACAGAATCAAGCTTAAGCATCGAGTTAGTGATTTCCTCCTTCTGTCTTAAAAATTATCCGCGCAACACAAACGCAACGATGAGGAGAGTTAAATGAACGAAAAGTTAGCTAATTATCCTCGGTGCAGATCTAAGCTCCTTTAAGCATCCCTAAATAATTTCGTTCACGCAAATTCCAATATTTATTCCGGCGCGGAGCAATCGGAATTCTCGATAATATAAGAATGCCCGAGCGATTCGCGTTTCTATTAAAGAATCGATTTTCTCGATTACGGACAAGCGTAATCCAACACATAGTAGCGTACGATTTATTTTCTCTGCGCGATCAGTCGCGTGCACACGGAGAAAGAAAGCCGGGAAGGACACGGAGATAGTATCGCGCGGTTAATCGCGCTGAGCGGCGAGCTTCGCAAGCGGGATTGTTCGCAGGAGACAGAGTGAAAGAGAGACAGAGGGAGAAAGAAGGGACCCTGACCTATATTTAACGACGACCTACTTCCCGAGGTGTACACAGGGACGTAGCCCGTCATCCTCGAGCAGACCCGCATCGAGCAGCTCCCGCGATGCCGCGCATTTTATGCCGCGAGCGTACCATCACCGCCGGCGATTTAAGGATCGCGCGTATGAAATATCGTCGAAACGCTTTCGTAAAGAGGATGGATCCTCCGGTAATACGATAATTCTTCGAACTGAAAAATTTGCCGCAGAAAAATAACGAGAGAAACAACTCGAATGTTTCAATGGCTACTGAATTTTGTATAATCCAAGAATAATTCCACGGCACGAAACAGATCTCTTTCCAAACTGCAATATTATACCTGGATGAAATTTAATTCACGGCATTTTGCTAAAGTTGAACTTATTTTGCAGAGCTTCTGTTAGAAACTTTACAATATCGATGCTTCATCTAAAAATACTGTTGAATTGATATCCACGCAAATACGTAAACAATTAATGCAAGAACATAATTAAAATATATATAACTTCCTGCTTTATTCCAAAAGTTAGGTAAATATTCCCGACGTTTATTGAGAAACTGCATTAAATTACAAGTGACACATTCTATGCTCTTCATTAAAGAGTCTTTTATTAAGAACTTCACTTAGAGCCATTTTCGTAATAGCGTAGGTTACATAAAGATATAATTGGAAAAGAGCACCGCGGACGTCGATGAGATTGAAGTTTGAGAAGCGAAAGTATTTATAACCGTTTCATAATTCTTGCAAAACGAGTTCGTTGTAGAGCTCGCGACTCGATCGGCTCGAGTACGGCTTAAATTTTAACGGCGCGAGTAAAGTCGCGTTGGTGTATCGTAAAAGCTCTCTCGACACACATTCGTCACAGCGTATACGCATCGCTCTTTCCGCTTTAAGCGCCTCTAAAACAGAAGACTTACGTTACCGTCGCGGATCCCGATAGAACTATCAATTTAAATAAGGATTAATTGCTCCACTCAATGAAGTACATTTGTGCTCGGAACCTTTCTATTCCAATCAAAACAACCACCGATTAAATGTCGTAGTTGCTCTAATCGGAATCGAATTTCACAGGCGTGTTTGCTCGCGCGATATCGCGTGAAGATTAGAACTGTACATCCGGCAATTAAATAACTGAATGTTGAAAAGAAATATATTTCCATTTAGCTCGATCTGCGAGGAAATATCAACACTTTTTAAATAAAAAATATATTAATTTTTACATAAACCCAAATTTATACAATGAAAAGGAGGGAGATATAAAATGTCCGTTTAATATCAGCAAAGCTATTTATATATTCGAAAAATAATGAAAATTGATGTTTGCGCCCTTTTCACGTCGATCAACTCAGTTACGTTCCGAATGCTCGATATAAAATGCGCAAGACGGAGGATTTGACCTTTCAGAAGAGACAAAGAAAATTTCAATATTTATAATCAGTCAGAATATTGTCGCGTATTTCTTAAATGTTAATCAATGGCGACCACACCTATGTAACAGAATCGTGATATTTAATTCTACAAAAATGTCACGTTATTTTTAATTCAATATTTATTAAAATACAACTCATAAAAAAGTTAAATTAATTGTTCATAAGTTCGTTCTTTGATATTTGTTATTTCGCAATATAAAATTTTTAATTTAGTACGATATGTACTTCTATATTTGCTCACATATTACTCTGCAATTTCGAATATAATATATTCATAACAAACACTCAACACTTTTCATATAAAGCATTCTTTATATAAAATTACTTGCGTAGATAGTCCACATTCTGCTCAGAGTTACAAATAAGTGTAGCTCCTCTCTTCATTAATGAATTAATATAATGTGACTAACGTCGAGCACGTGTAGGCGTATACTTGTTGACTTGTTAAGAACTGAGAAAGACGTAGTCTTTAAATATCCCCGTGTGCACACAGGGGATCGAATGAAATTTCAGCACGAGCACGAGGAAAGAGCGAGAACATATTCTCGAAACCTCGCACGGTCGATCGGTCTCCAACATCATCGAGTTCACGACGTCGGGAAAGCGTCGCGCCGTAAAAATATCCGTTCGCCATCGTCCTGACATCGATAACGACGAACAGGACATCCGCAATATTGCCAGGCTCGACCCGGCGACGGCATAACACGCGACATCACAACGCCGGCGGTGCACTTAGAACTCCACACACTCACCGCATCGGCCATACGTCTACACATATATATACATCGTAGTAAATGCAATTAGAGCACAGAAGGCGAGGCGAATGTATGCACGTGTGTGTGCTCGAATCAGGATTTTCCGCACGCTCGATGAAGCAGACACGCAATTTTCGCCGCCGCGCAATATGGTGTATCTACGCATTATTTGCGTGCGCACTATAATGCTATAGTACGCGCTTTATGCGCGGATATATAGCAAATGAAATGTTAAGCAATTCTGATCGTGGCTAACCACATAAATTCGTGTTCACAAATTAGAGGCGCGGTTAAATTTAAACTACATTGTAAATATTTGCAAAAATTATTTAAAAAGAAATTAAAATTCAATTACAAAAGTTTACCTCTAAATTCTTTAATCGATCTGTTAAGTCGCGATTTATTGAAAAATAAATTTTGAAATTAATTTTTGTTTTGCCAGTCAAATCTGGAACATTTAAATCTAGCTTTTAAATCAATTTTTAAATTAACATGCGTGTTTAAGACCATCAATGTTATATAAAATTCAACGATTTATACAACATAACATAAAAGTCGATTTAAATATATTAATCGCGTATAAAGCGATCTCAAAATAATTTCTATGCAATCAGATTGCATTGAAATTTATTCACTTTTAATCTGCATCGAATGATTTTGATAAAATAATACGGAGTTTTGTGTAACGCCGTTATAAATATACTCGAAATGCAGATACTTGGCGCGCCAACAAGGACGCTCCTCGTTTATCAGCAATATATTCGGCGCTGGTACGCACAATTAAGAACGCGAAAGGTCAGAAGTTGCGGATCGCCATCATCGCGCATCGCCGGCGAATTTCAGTGGTGCGAGCGACCGCGCAGATCGTCCGATCCCCGAGAAGTTACCCGGCCGCGATCGATAGTTTAAAATTGTTCGTTACACAATCGCCCGCGAGCCCCTGTGCGCAATAATTCGCATTGTTTCACACGTCGCTTGCGCACTTTTTGCCCGACCGAATTCCCGACCGAATTCGCGACCGCCGCTCGCCAACGCTGAAATTTACATTTTGCATTTGCGGCAAACTTTGCAGTGCAGTAATTAAGACCAGGATAACGTTCCGCCAACGCGTTATTAAAACTCCCGTGAGCGAAACTTGCCGTTTTTCATCTATATTTGACTTGTTATCTCGCCCACTTGGTTTCGCACAAAGATTAAAATGGAGTCCTTTGTCAAAAATGTGTAACAAATAAGTTTCTGTATGTCTGATATCGCTATAAAGCGAACTCATTTTCTTTCGTCTCGCACGTCACTGAGGATCGGCTGTATCGACTACATCAAAGTGGTCCCTTTGTAATGAATACACCAACTATTTTTCACGCCTGATAGCCTTTCTCGATCTTTCGGGATCACTTTTATCTACCATCGTGTTATTCTGAATATCTTCGACGTCGACAAATATCTTTCTTTTCTTACTTCGATTGATCTTCGTACTTAATTTACGAACTTCAAATGGAGTTTTTCTTTCACTACACAATTAAGTTTTACCCTCAATTTCAAATTTGTTGTTTATTTTAACAGTTTGTCCGCCACGTTTGCCATCGCTTTTCGTGGAAACGCAAGGACACGAGTCAACAGTAATTACTTTCCCGAATTGAGCAAGGTAAATTGTGCTACTGGTGGTTGCTCTTAAGAATTGATATTTATAACAGAAGACATACTTTCTCCGCAAAGCTACGTCAAAAAAAAAAAAATAATAATAAGCAAATACATTTGTAAGGCCTCGAACATAATGGAACAAATATATTAATGTAACGAGAATGTCGTACATCAAGAACGTATAAATAAATCGTAATATACGATACGAGTGAGAATACGATGAAAGTAGTAGAATAAATAATGAAGTAGGTAAGAATTGATTTTCCCATAAATATTACGTTTAACAAAATTATATCTATAACATTATAATAGAAAAGCCACATAATATAATATGGAATATTATACCTCGGGACAAACTCGGCGCGTAATTTCCGCATTGCGTTCTCCTAAATCAAATTAAAGTAAGAACTACATAACGCATTATCGAATATTTCATCTCGAAGTAAACTGATGCGTACACGTTAATGCAAATAGCGCTCCGTGTGTACCTGCAGTTACGGGCGGCTTATGGGAATAATTACAGCAATTTTCATTACTGCGAGACGACAGTGCGCTCGGCAGAAGTGCCATATATGCAGAATTTCGCACGCACGTAAGCATGTTTGTTGCGTCCCATTTAATGCGCAACGTAATCTTGCGTTGTCAATGTTAGGAATTTCGTAATCATGTTTTCCATGGTATTTGGAGCGTAAGTGTAGAGCATAAGCGTGAAGCACGTTGAGCGAGATGCGTCTCCTCATGCGTGTTTTTTTTTATAATCAAAGGCAAACACTAATATTTGCAAAATTAATAAAAAGATTCAAACAAAGATCACGCCGATAAAATAAGCACAGTATAGAATTATAAAATATTCCTCTTAATTTTATAATCAAGATTTCTATCAGTTAATTTTCTTATTAGCTCTTGTTAATTAAAAGAATTTATACTTAATATTAATATATTGTACAGAATCAAGTAAAGGCAAATAGAAGTTTTATTTTTATATATTTGTATTTTTAGTATGATGGACAACAGAATAATTTATTATTATTTCTATCTCAACTAAAATATCTAAACTGTTTTTCTCTTTGTGCGTGCTATTTCTATGCTATTTCTATTGTATTTTGATATTCTTTCGGAATTGTGAGAACCCGCTCATATTTATTAGCGACACAGACATATCATTAATATGGAGGTTCACTACTGATTTGTTGATTGTGTTTCTCTTAATTAACAATTAGTGCCCAATTAGTCACGGTTGCTGCAACTAAACCCGAAAATTAAGAGCAGCGGCAGTCACGCTTCTCCGCTCGTTGTACCAAGATTAAACATGGCGAGATGATAATGCCAGCGGATATGAAAATTCACTGTACAGCGTGCTGGACCAAACGATAACTGACATCAATGATACTGTCAGACCCACTTTTCGTCTGAGTGATATTTCAAATAAAGATAAGTGAATCTCGCGGACTCTTTTTAAATATGCATTATTTTTCGCACTCAAATACGAAGAACAAGTAATTTATTCATCGTTCATTGAAGGGAAGAATATCCAGTCTTCTTTTTACGTCTAAAAATAGTTTTAGCGATATTACGGAATTTCTGCGATTCTCGCGTATTTCATGCATTCCAGTTTCTTAGACGCCGGATTCTGAAAACTCTAAACTGTGAAATTCCCTAATAATAAAATATATTCTCGCGTGTATTCCCGTGTTCTCGGGAATGCTGTTGAACAATATCGATTTCACATTATATAGATGGTTCGCATTACGACAGTGACAATTAACCGGCATTTCGCGCATCGCGTTTCGAGAATTACTCGATCCTGCCTTCGTTCGTTTTTGCGATCGCATCAGGCACTTTGAGAATTATTCCGGCGGTACCGAGAAGCCAGCGAACATGCTCTTAATTTTCGCGAGTTTCACGGCGACGCTTAATCGCATTAAAAAGTGCATTCCGCACGTGGACAAACGACGACAGGCAATCGTAAGTTCGTGATGTTACTAGATACGCCCCAAGTAGCAATGCATTGCCGGTAATTGGCGTAATGTAGCCTGACATACGAACGCCACCGTTAATGTGGTCGATTAAACGAATCGTGCGCGCTACACGGAATCGCTAATGCGATGTTCTTCTTAACGCTTGTAAGCGTTGAATCGATAAACACGTAAGACGGCTTGTAATTTAATTGATCGACTTAGAGTACCTACTCTTTGCAAAATTAGAGTGATTAAATCTTGAAAGAAAAAAATCACACTTTAATCACGCAAGTTGATCCACAAGAAAAATACTCTGCGCGCGAGATGGTTCTTTGAATTTCATCTAATTTCTCCGATTACAGTTAAATATTGACTCATTACTTAAAGAAAATTATGTAGCATGCAAATTATTTAATTCTACTCCTCGAGATTGAATTCTCCGTGATCCTTTGCCAACTAGCGCATGAGGTATTGATCCCTCGCAGTGAGAAAATTCACTGCCAAGTTGCCGGGAAATGGGATTCAGTGTCATGACTCAATCGACTCACCTGATTCGCCTTGTTGATCTGCTTTTTGAGCCCGGCGAACGCCATGGTGCCTGTTGTGTCGTTGCTTCCTCGGATCACGCGCAAATCGTCTCGAACTGCAATAAAACGGAAAACAGCGGGCTATCAGAATGGGCCGGGGATCAATTGGACGCGAAGCGGGGAAGCGACCGAGCGGTGAAAGAGAACGAGTGTCGGAAGGAAAGTTTCGCGAATTTACGATCGCGGCGGCCGTTGGCCGTTCGCCAAGGCGAACGGGATGATTTTCAATGTTATCGATCGGCGGATGTGTGTGCCGTGTTTTCCAGCATCGTGACTCGTCGCTGATGTAACACACCCGGCGGTAGTAATATCGCTTCGCGTGCGGCCGTGCAGGTGGCCGGAGGAGGCGCGATGCGCGCTCTCGCGTGTGTGCTCGCGGTGATCTCATACGCGCGAAGCCGTACGTGCCGCCGACCCGACCTCTTAACAGGCTCTAATGAGAGCAAGTAATGCGTGCTCTTACCAACGCTGAGTTACAGTCGTCGATAGGTCCCTCGGTGCGCGATGAAAATAAAAGGATGTTCGGTATAAGCGGAGAAAGCGAGCTTTACGAGCGCTTTTCAAACGGGAAAAATCTGCGAGATGACACAACAATGCGTCATTCAGCGCTTTTAATAAAGACGAATATTGCGCATCGATAAATCTCCATAAAATGGAGATACGCAATTCCATTCGTAAAATCTATAAATGGCGAATCTAATGGAGCGTACGTGCTTAACAGCCAGAGCGCGACGTATTTCTCGTTGGTCGATCTCTTGTGACAGAGTTCCGAATCAAGATAGACGTTTAATAGAGAAGTTTCAGCAACAAATGTACATCTATGAACGACGAATCCGTAACAGATTACAATGAGAGCAAGCGCCACGCTGCTGGCGTTGATGGATTCGCGCAAAAAATTCGCGAGGCCAACATATTGGACTAGAAATCTAATTAAAGAGAATTATTCTCTAATTTTTATATATTAATTATAAATAGTCAAAATTATGAAATAAAAAATGAAAGGAATAATATGTGCTATAAATAGTCGACAAATTCTCGAGAAAACCGCATGATTTTTTTCGTAAATTCTAAACAAATTCTCGGTGCAAATTTCAAAAAAATAGAGTCAAAGCTAGAGAAGCTTTATGAGCAAGCGCGACATCTAATTGATCCAAACACGATAATTCCGTCGATGATTCCGCGAAGGCCAACGAAGCATGATGCAATTAATTAATCTTATAAAGGTAAATCAAACTCAAACACTTCGCGTACACTCTTGCGCTTGCGAGATCGTTGTAAGAAAACGCCGGTCAACGACGAATCTCTCTGGGTGATCCTTGTCAATCGCAGAAGCAAGGCTTCCGTTAGCGAGCCGGTAGGGGAATTCTTGAAAGAGAACGAGCGCTCTATTAACAAGAACTGTCGCGTAAATGGCGGGACTCTCGGAGTGTCTGGAGTGGCTGTACACAGCGGTCGCGACGTCGAAATCCTCTTAATAATGCGCGTATTAATTAACACAACGTTTGCGCTAATGGGCCCTTACCGCGGGCTAAGCGTAATGATCGCGCGAGTTCTATTAAAAGCACACGGCGGAGATTCGATTGACCCGGCCGCTCGCACGGGTGTCGCAACGCCGAAAGTACCACGAAAAAAGAACTGCCGAGAGAAAGAGAGGACACGAAAAGCGAACGAAAGGACGGTAAGATGGAGGACAACGGTTCGGCAACGGCGATCGTCCCGGCTTTTGTAATAACTGGATCACCAACGGTTGCATCATTGACCGCTAAGTAGCTCCGCTTAAGCGCTGCGACTAAATTTGTGTGGCAGTAACAAGTAAAAATAGTAGAACGATATTTAAAAGGCGGATAACAACAGCGAACGATTGCGCAAAATAAAATTTTCATTGACGAAATGTAGGTTAAAAAAAATGTCGGTGAAAAAATAATGAAATAAATCAATCAGCTGAAGTAATTAAGTTTCGATCGATTTCGAATTAACATAATGATAAAAAGAGTAAGATATAATGCGAAATTATAATATAGCATGCGGTAGCTAAACTAACATGAAGAATTAGAAAATATCGTGGACTGCGATAAGTAGATGTACGATATAAGTAGATGTACGATATCGAGACGGTTGGTAAGTGGTAATTCTCACGAGAACTGTAGAGAGGAGCTATAATATAGATGACTGTAATTTTCCGCTCTAGGTGAAATATAGAGGACAGGTCAGCGCGAGGCTAGCAGACGAAGACAGCCGCGTTGAGTGGGTTGAGAAGCCTGACAGAGTCGAACAGTAGGTCTCGAGAACTCTAGCGCTTATCTTGCTCTAGCCAGCACTCCCGCGGCCGTCAGCATAGTCCGCGAACGGGACGACGATGTCGCGCCGGAAAACCGTATATATACGTTGCCGACAATTGCAAGTGAAACGGGAAACGGGGGAGAGCGATTCGACGACGACACGCGATAGCGCGCAGGACGTCACGTAGATGCTGCGAGCGCAGAACGAGAACGCGTTCTCACCTCTGCCTGCGAGCGCTCGGCCCTCCGGCAAACCGGATGTGCACCCCTGTAAACGCGCCCTTGCTGCACACTGTGGACGACGACGACGACGACGACGACGGCGGCGACGGCGACGGCGACGACGACGACGATGACGATGTGGCCGAGACGGACGGGCGGTCGCGAACGGATGCGTGCGTGCCTGTGTGCGTGCGTGAGAAAACGACAGAGGGACGATCCGCGTGGGGCCCACGAGCACCGCGAGATCACCGCCGACTACTACTCTCGTTACGTTGGTGGTCGGTCTTCGCGCACACTGCGAAGCCTCCTGCTAAGGGGTAGTTTTCTGCTGGCCGATCGATACGCGTCCGCTACGGCTCGGATTCGCCGTCCCTCTCGCACTGCGCGCGTCCCTCTCCGCGTCGCCCGTCTCCCCTCCCCCCTCCCCCCCTACTGGCTTCCTCCCTGTGTCCCACTCGCCGCGTTTCGATACCCTACCCTACCCTCTTCTTTCGCGATAGCGGCCTCTCCGTCGCTCGTCAGGGGCGGCGGATCCAGGCGAGGAGACTGCGCGAATCGCTGCGAGAGAGAGTCTCGTATTAATCTCCTCCGTGTTTTTATGAGACATTTCCGCAGATTGAGAATGACAAATGCAGTGCGAAAAAATTTTATCAGAATAATCATTCTCTTTTTTTTTCAAGTCGGAGAATTTCATTTTTGGCTTCCATTGTGATTAATTCCGCAGGGAAATTTCCAAGATCCGCCGCTGCTGCCTGCCCTTTCTCTATCGCCCTCTTTCTTCTTCTCCCACCGCAACCCTTGACTTTATTCGCGTGCCTCTGCTCTCTTCACGTGTATACCGGGTGTCTGTGACGACAAGAAGTCACTGTGTCACGTCGCTTGCTTCGGGATTACGTGCGCGTAGCGGAAGGATAGGGTAAACGGTGTTTGTCACCCTCCGGGACGGGATACTAGCTTAATTTAGCAATTGTGCTATTACGTAGAATGTAGTAGTATAAGGTCAGATAAAAATAAATATAAATGAAACTTCGATGAATTATTTCGGCACCAAATGCGCATGTGATGATTTTACAACCGCTGTCGAAAGTGCTCTTAATATTAAATCGAAAAAAAATCAATAGCAAATAAAAAGCCCTTACAAACGATAAAGCTTGAAGAAAACTGAAACGATTCGGAAAATTATAAAAATAAAACTCAACAGACGCGTGCTCGTTTATTTTCTAATTTTAAATAGGAATGTAACTTTAAATAGCAAAAAAAAAATTACTCTATTAACTGCATATCATAAAATGTTGGAAACTAACTTTTCCGATTTATTTGCAGAGGAAAAACGCTGTCGTCGTTGTATTTTCAGAACAACCTACGCGCGATTATAAAACTAATCCGCACTTAACATTCAAACTTCTTATCTGTATCACAGTTCAGTTAATACATTTCGGAATCTCCCGAATCACGAGATATCAGACTCCCCCAACATCCCGTGCAACATTCCACAAATAGCGTCGCTTCCCCGATATTTCTGGAATATTTTTCGCAGAGTCATTGACCGTCCCATGTAATGTCGTTTCTCGGCGAGGAAGCAGCTCCTCGCAGCTCTCTCTCTCTCGATGATTGGATAAAAATCATAAGAATAAGCGCGTCTCCCAAGGAAACGAGAGAATTGGCACTAAAAGCGAGAGCGCGAGCGGCGCGAATCGATTTTACGATTTATTAATACCGTCCTGTTTTAACAGGATCTTTGTCTTGCGTGCGCGTATACGTGTGGTGGTGCAGTAGTGGTTTCAACGACGTATCGATTATGAATATAATCAACGGCCTTTCTAGTAAGCGTTGTTCAGCTCTCGCAATTTACGGATTTGTCACGAGCCCTCGAACTGACAAGCATCCTATCCTGCCCTCCCTCTTTCTCTCCCCATCTCTTTCCGCGCTTTCCGCGCCAGTTATTCACCTCGGATCTCCCAGACCGGCCGCCCGTTTAAATCGCGGGAGAGATCTATCTCTTCGCGGAATAATCTTTTTTTAATTTAAGGCACAGACCCCGAGCTTTATCCACAAACCGCCGCCCCCGCGATCGCGCTTGATTTCTCAAGAGATGCTTAATTAGCGTTTGAAAGACATGAACGTCGGGTCGAAAGCGTCCTTTTTAATCACGACTTTCGCAAAATATAAGAGAGAACTAATAGCCCGTAATAATTTCTTTAAATTGAATAACGACGTCTTTAAAAGAAAACTCGTATCGAATATTTTGAGAAACGTTTTAGGAAATCACAATTAATACGAAAATCTATTCATCACAATGAAAATAATAATTATTAATAATCGCTAGACACATATGTCTTGTAAATAAATCGAAATTTATCGCATATGCTATAAGCTTTGTTACCAAAGTACAATAAATTACGAGCGATTTATTCATCTCATGAAGTTTGTCCGCAAATTTATCGATAACTTGAGAATTTCTAACTACATATGTAATAAATAGAATCGGCAAACTGTATATTAGTTTAACTCGGCGAGTTATTAAGCAATAAACGAAGGAAAGAATGTTGTTTCTT